TATCAATTTTACAACTGGCTAAAATCACTAACTTTACAGTAATATTGAATTTGATTTCAACAGAAAATATAGCAGAGACAAAGTAAAAAGAAATGTTCTGACTTTCCAAGATCAGAAAAGTCCTGAACTTTTTTTTCTAATGTGAAAACGTCAATACGCAAAACTTCAACCAATACGCATGGTGAAAAGGTACTCTGCTGGAACAAAATAATGCAAGGAAACCTTTGATATAATTTAAGTTCTTTTGACATCAAAGACAGAAGGCTACGATCAAAACCAATGCTACGAACACAGAATCTTTAAAGCCGATAGCCCTCACGAAAGAGAAAACCTGGTTGTAAACCTTTTCCTTTAACGTGATTTCCAAAACTAAAGATTGATGATATAACTTCCCTACAAAATCTTCCTTTATAATTTAACAGTCGTCAATCGTCATTTTGTATTCACTGATTTTCACTGGTAGATAAAATGTTGATCACCTTCGACCTCAGTTAATATTATTTAGTAGACTATTATTATTAAAAAGCCATTAAAACCCCCTAATCGTTTTAAAAAATTTAGATTCCTGCTTTCCTAACATACGACTGAACATAACTTAGGCGTAAAAAAGACACTAAAGTATACTAAAGCCGAAAAAAAATTTTATTCACAGCTTCTTCCTTTACATGCTTTACTCACGAAAAAAAACAGCAGGCTCGCTGTTCCCATCAATGTCCCTCTTTTTTAAAACCAATAATCCTTTTTGCTGCAGAAATTACATTAAGGTTTTATCAACATCATCTGAAATAAACTATTCTTCACCTATGCCAAGGAATTCTGTAAGAAATAAAAGTCCGTGACTCAAAACGAATAGTTTAACAAACAAAAAAGGGTTTTAAAGTACGGTAGTTTTTGTCACTAAGAGGATTTCAAAATAATTGCATGTTGGCGATGAAAATTATTGGTGGCTTACGACTGCAATACAATATAAGTCCAAAATCTTAAAAACCGCTTCAAAATTGAATTTCTAAAACTGCTCCGAAGACAACAGAAATTTTAATATACGGCGCAAAGAAAGTTCTTTGCAAGAACGGGCTGAAAAATGCTTCATAAAAATATTGGTTAAATTTTCTAAAGGATAGAAAGTTTGTTCCGTAAATCTTTTTTGTTGAACGGAACAGAGTTAAAAAGCAGCAGAATTGTAACTAGAAAGTTTTTATAGAGGTGGAAGTAGATCTTTCCGTCTTTTAGCACTGTGACTGCAAAACGTAATTATTATCTAATGCACTATGCGTCATCAGTACAGAGTTTTTGCGAAACGGCATAAGAGTTGACATGATATTTTGGAATTAAATGCTTAGAACTTTACTTGTAAGCTAATAGGCGAAATTGAAACAAAAAAGCTAAGCTGTGTTTAAGATCTCAAATATAATAAAAGAACAATATACAAATAAAAAAGCTAAGTTTAAAGGTGGATAAGCTCAACTATGAAAACACTAATGTTTTCGTTCGCCATATGACAGTTCGCTACAAAAAACGTCGTATATTCGCTCAACATCTGTTAAGTCCTAATCATTACTGCTTGTTCCTCGTTTAGTATAACATACCATTAGGTTGTAAGAACTTAATGAGACACTAATGCACAAGAAGATGAGATATTTGTATCTGCTGTACATACTATAATGCGTGAGAGTATTGCTGAAGACAATTGAAAATTGGTGGTTATCTGCATCTGCTTTATAATACTTACTAGCATTACGAAGAAAACACCAGCATTACATCAAAAACTTTCAAGAGATCAGATGACGAAACAAGAGATTGCCCTTCATTAATTGGAAAAGTGTAATAAAAGCAGTTTTGTACCAGGTAAAATAAATGACTCATTATCTGGTTTGATATGATGTTAACGCGTCTTATTACGCTCCATTTCACTGCCACCCAATATCAAGTGGACAGTGCGCTGTAGGAAGGAGCCACAGAAAAGTGCAGAAGCAAAACTGCCCAAAATACTTTTTGAAAACCAAACTTTTGACCGCACTTCTAGCACTTTATCTTGAGCAATTAAATTTTATTTAAAAAATTGTATTTTCTAGACAATAATGTTGTTTTAAAGCTAATCAAGACTTCCAGTAAGAAACTTGAAACGTTGCAGCCAATGATAAAGGGACAGAACTTTACCCATATTCTTAAGTAAATTCAAATTAGATAGTTCCGAAAAGGTTTTTGGTAAAGGAAAGTTGTACAGAGATTATATAATTATAAACCAAAATAAAACAAAGAAATTAAGGTTTTTCACGGCTTATAAAAGGATAAGTATCTGTTGCTAATGAAAAAGCTTTTACTTAAAAAAAACACATGATACTTAAAAAAAATGTAGGGTTACATGTTTAGATGTGCGTTCAACAGCTGTAAGAGTTAACAAAGAAAGAGAACAAAGTGCGGCTAAATGACAGTTTTTTCAATACAACTCGTATATTCAACTGGTATACTTTTGGGCAAAAAATAATAATAACTGGTACCAGTGAGAGAATGATTAAGATTTTTTAAGCATGTAAGCTCAAAATGCATTTTGAAAAGTAAAAAGATTCTTTAGGAAACTCAGACAGTAAACTGCGCATTAATTAATTCACTTTTTCAATGCAGTATTTCCGTTATCTATATTAATCATATTATATTTTGCAAAGAAAATTGAGAAATTTGCGACAAGAAAAAATAACTTTCTTAAAAAGATACGATTATAACTTTTGTAGTAAAAGTAAATTTTGTTGCTTTTAAGAAAAACGAGTAAAGTTCTTTTTGAAAGGCTTCCAGCAGAAGCGCTACTCCAATGACTAACAATCTCTAATAACGTCCAACTCGAAATTTTTACGTTTTTTGGTGGAGATATAAATGATCAAAAAGCGCAGTTCCATCGTCAAAACTTAAGAACACCTGAACAACTTTGTAAATTAAGGTAATTATAAACCGGAATTTTGATATTTCATGTCGAAAAAGTTTTGCTAATTCAAATCCCGCAAGCTTGTTAGCTTTGCACAAGTCCCAAGGTTAGATTCCGCTCTAATGTGACAAGATTATCTCCCAAATATAGAGAATTAAGCATTGCCTCACTGCTTTCTTTGAAGAATATTGTAATTAGGGAAAAACAAACAGTCCGCAAATACTAGACAGTAAAATTAGCGGAAGCATACACTTCAATCACTTTCGTTGTATATATTAAAAACAAGTTTGAAGAACCGTCTAACGTTCAAACAAACAGTTTGTTTAAAATGAGTTAAAATCAAAACGATATGTAATTGTGACTTGTTGCAGCCGTTCGTAAAGGCATTTAAGTGGTCTTAAAAATAACATGTGCCAACTGAAAGATACAGGAGATTACGTTAATAACACGTCTAATACACATTTTATGTTCCAAATGTGTAAAAATTACTTAGTGTCACAATTTCTCCAGCTGGTATATCAGATCTTCCTCAAGGTTTAAAGAATAGTAGGCGCAATCTTCTTAGTGAAGAAACCGAAAAGGTAGATTAAAAAGGTTAATTTCTTACCGAGTCATACCCTGTGAAAATGCAAAAAACTTCCCTAGTTTCTGCACAGTTATGCGCGTTGCATTACTTTTTGTAAATTCAAAAGCTACTTTCGGTGCTATTATAAGTCTGTGCCTACAAACTCCCAACAATAAGCTCTTCATAGAATTTAACGCACATATTGAAAAAACAAAAAAATTTGCAATTCCAACAAAAAACTTTGAATTAAAAAATCAAACAGTAAAAAACCAATTTTTTTAAAAATCTATTGTTTATAAGCCTTTTCTTAACAAAATAAAGAATTTTCTGAAGGAAAAGAAAGTGAGCCAAGGGAGGAAGAAAAAGAACGGAAAGTAGAAATTTACTAATAGTTAAGTGGGCTAAAATAAACGATTATAATGCACTTTGGTGAAATCCGTTATCGTACTTGATTTATTGATAATAAAATGCGACCGTATCAAAAACAACAAAAAATTGTTTTAGGCTGAGACATTGCTAAAACACGCTAAGATGATCCATATTCGTCCACTGAACTGACTGCAGCTCCCGATTTCAAAAGCTCCTCAACTTCGTAGCCTTTTTATAATGC